CATACACACATACATGCATACATACATACACACAACTTCAAAATAACATAAATTCTCAACCTGTACTGAAAACAGTTTCTGCGTCTCAGCGCTACCAGCTGGTGAGAGGTGGTGACGTCAATTTGAACCCCGCCCACTGGAACCGGTACTGAAAGCATAATGGAAACACAACCTGTACCGTACCGAGTAGAGTAGAGCCGTGCTGTACCGGTACTACAGGTACTTATAGAAAAGGGGCATATATGGACCTGCGACCCGTCCAGGGTGTACCCCGCCCCTCGCACAGTGATTGCTGGACATGGGCACCAGCGACCCCCATGATCCAAAATGGAATGAGCGGGTAAAAGATAATGGATGGATGGATTGATATTAATAATAATAAGGCAGTCCCCATCAAAGTTTCAAAGACACTTAAATTCGTCATAGGAAATGAATGAGAGAACATTCCTCACACTAAGTCCTGCTGTCAAGTCACATGACAGAGTGAATAAACAGGTTCCTGATGCAAACAGAAAATAACTTTTGGATTTGTTTGAAACTCGCAGAAAGTAATCATCAGATAAATGTCGAGAACTGATTAAGTTTTGGAGCCATTCTGATCCAAGAAGTCTGCCACAGCTACCTCAGCAAACACAAAATTGACTATAACCTAGCCATTTTTAAAGCTTTTCAGCTGAAATTTGGTATAGTAGTAGCTGAGAGCGAATCCAAACAACTTTTGCTATCAAATCAAGAATTTAAATCAGCCACAGCCTGGCAGTCCCCGTCAAAATTTCTCCAGGAACTTTCTAGCAAATGGTAATACAAACTTCTTAAAGCTGGCTTATCAAGATTTAATTTTTATATAAACCCCTAACGAACTTGTTAAGGCTTGGCTTTGGTTTGGTGACTGCAGCACTGATCTTGTTGGAAGTCTCTGTGATATGAACAATAACTATAATTTTTTATAAACATTTTATTTCCTGATAAGATGACTCTTTTGAGCTCCAGCAGAACTCAATTTACTCTTTTGTTGTTTCTAGGAAGTTTTGAAGCTGGTGTCATGGTAAAGAGATAAGACAGCTTGGACAGAATTTAAGATAAAATCAACATTTTTTTAAAATCTCCCATAATGCTTCTGTGTGATAATATGACAATATGTTTTTATAGACATTTTCCTACAGGTTGTAACAGCATTTTTTTTTCCAGCAGAATGAAGCCTCTGCATGAAAGGCTATGACCAACACAAAGTCCAGACTGTAAACATCCACAATAAAAGCCAGAACCCAAGAATGAAGACCAAGTATGCTATCATTTTTATTTGTATTGTGGCCCTGGTCATCATTGGAAAAGAAATCAACATCATCTCAAGGTAAGATGATGACGAAATGTTGGTCATTTCAATTTCTTGAAACTTCTTGTACATTAATTTCTTTCCCTTGTTTTCCTTTGAGGTCAATGCCCTATAAACAGCTATGATAAAAATTAAATGAATAGGCAGTTGAAGTCATTCTGAGCTATTTATTTTAAACAAACATGCAAGAAAGATGTCACTTTCCTCCTAAAGCAGACGAAACAGAAACTAAGAACGAGACAGGAAGTCTGTGGGTTTTAGATTTGAAATGAAACAGCAGCAAATGTTGTGAGCATGTAAAGATACAGATGTGTGCGAGCTTTAAACCTTATTTGACCCTCCTATTAGGTTAATTTCTTGATAACTACTTTTCAGTTTCCAGTCAAAAATGATACAGTTAAACTTCTGTTTGTTTTTATGGCTTGTAAGCCTCACTCAGCTACTTAACCCTTAATTACTGTAAGAGAGTAAATACCAGAATAAATAGACCATTTTGATGACAGCATTTTTACAAGAAGACACCAATTACTGTGTCACAGAAGATCAATGACATCTGTTTTTAAATATTTAAATACATTCTGAATGAAGATCCTTTTTTTTATTATTTCGAATGGACTGTAACAGCATTATATCAGCATGTACCAGCAGGGACCTCCCCATCATCTCTGGATTATTCCTCACCGGTTGTCTCTTGGTCTGGATCATTTCAGAGTCAGAGTCAGAGTTTCTTTATTGTCATTCGCACCTCATGTGGTACATGTGGTGGAGCAAAATTATGTACACGGGGTCCCAGTTACATCCAACAATAAAATGTCTAAGAAAAACAGTAATAACATCTAAGATATGAACTAAGAAAAACATCAACTAAATATACACTAAGCACTCATAACATAAAACATTGAACATCAGCACAAACATGAACATGAGTCTGTGAGCAGATGTGCACGCATGAACACATCAACATTGAAACAGATCAGCAGCAACATGAAACAGATCAGCAGCAACATGATATGGTTTTTCACAGTGATTATTCTAGTTAGAGATTCATGAGTCTAACAGCCTCAGGGTAGAAGCTGTTCCTCAGTCTAGTGGTTCTACACTTAATGCTCCTTAACCTCCTTCCTGAGGGGAGTGGGGCAAAAAGTGTGTGTGTAGGGGGGGTGGGGTCCTTCATGATGCAGGTGGCCCTCTTCCTGCATCTGGAGGTGTAGATGTCTGTGATGGTGGGGAGACTGATTCCAACAGATTTCTGTGCAGCCTTCACCACTCTCTGCAAAGCTTTTCTTTCTGCAGCTGTGCAGCCTCCATGCCACACATTGATGCTCGAGCACAGGATGCTCTCCACTGCACACCTGTAGAAGGAGGTGAGGACTGAGCTTCCCAGACCAGCTCGCCTCAGCCGTCTGCGGAAGTAGAGTCTCTGATTTGCAGAGCTGATTTAATCTTTGGATACTTCATCATTCGTAGCATCTTATAAGTCAGGTTCCTCTCCTATCTCCTTGACTCCAGTGTCTTGAGCCAAGATGACAGAAGACCTCGACTGTGTAAATATCAAACCTGAATAGGGAAAAAAATGTCTTGTGTATGTCCTGATGCATGCTCAATAATCCAGAAAGATACCATATTTTTTGCCGTATAAGTTGGAGTTTTTTGCATAATTTGCATGCCCTGCAACTTATACAGTGAAGCAACATATTTATGTTTATTTCCCCCACATTTATAACACAATTTTTGGCTGAGAGCTGACTGTTTCATTCATTCTGACATGGAAAATATTGAACACTACCATTTGCAACCACTAGGGGGCACTTGACATATATAGCAAGCCAAGTGTCTCATAAAAGTGAGTGTAAAAGTGGCTATTAATGATACACTTGGCTTGCCATACAGAGCCACCGTCATCTCGTTCTGGAACTCCTGGAGCAAACGTCAAATCAGCTGCATTTCGCCCGGCTGCCCAGGCGAAATGCAGCTGATTTGACCAATAAAGTGCATTTTATCAAGGAAAAGTTCAACAGAGACACACCTTTACTTTAATGTTGAGTGAACAAAAAATTGTTTTTAGGTGGTTATCTTGTTAAATTTAGAAGAAATGCACAGCAAGTCCTCCCTCTGCGTGCTTCTGCAAATCGACTTCTGAAATGCAGCTGATTTGACCATTAAAGTGCATTTATTAAGTAAAAGTTCAACTGAGACACATCTTTGTTATAATTTTGAGCAAACAAATAATTGTTTTTAAGTGTTAATCTTGTTAAATTCTTGTTAAAGTCCTCCCGTGCATGCTTCTGCAGCTGCCATTTGGCAGTCATTCGATTTTTGGCACAACACCGGCCCACATTTCCGGGTTGTCAGAGGTGACGCGAAACAAACGCGACGCATCAGCGGTGACACATGATAGATGCAACTTATATGACAAGCAACATTTTTATGTTTTTTCCACTGTATTAGACATATTTGGACTGATGCGACTGATGCGGCGGTGCGACGTGTACGGCGGAAAGTACGGTAAATCTAGCAAGGTTGAGTCAGGTCCTCTGGACGGGTCAGAACCCATCCAGAGGACCTGACTCAACCTTGTTAGGTCTTGTATATAAATGACTGAAACAGTGTTTTTTGTTTATGAGAATGCCAACAGGTGTGGTTCTAATGAGGGAAACATTCTTGGGCAAACTACCTTTGGGAGCAAATTACTTTTATTTATTTATTTATTTTGGGAGGCCTATGCCCCAACTGCCTTATGAACAATCCAAACATGATTCTAAATCCTTGGAAATGGTCAAAAATCTGTTAACCTTTAGAGTTTTGTTCTGTCGTATAGCAAGTCTGCAAGGCATGCCACCCTAATACATTTATACTGATTGATAAATGGTATTTAACCCCAAAAAGATTAAACATGTATCTAAAGATGGTATCAATATAAAATGTCTAAACCAGAGGTTCTCAAACTGGGGTCCCAGGAAGCCCAGCAGTCCGTGAGTTGTAGTTTGTGGGTCCGCAAAATAAAATACAATAAATATTCACTATATCATTTTAAAAAGTACATAAATACATATGGGGGCCAATGTGCCAGTAAAACAAAGAAACTTAACCAAGCAACAACAAAAAAATATATTTCTATGGCATTTAGGGCTTTAAATGTCAGAAAATTATTTTGTAAAGCGTGGGTAAAGCATGTAAAACTATAACTAATCCTTTGTTCATTTTACAGAAAAGAGCTGTACGAATTATTATGGAAAAAAACAATGGATATCCGTTGAATACTTTATTTTATCAACTGAAAATTCTGAAATTCTATGATTTGGTTAATTATAACATTTTGTTGCCTATGTATAGGGCACATAAAGGCATGTTGCCCGTTAATATTCTAACAAATTTTGTTAAAAGAGAGAGTGTATATATTCTTAAAGGAATTGAGATGTTTGTGAAGCCTTATTTTAGGAGTAGTTTGAAGGAAAAATCCACAATAATTCAGCATGTGTTGAGTGCATAACCTGTTTTTTAATGATGCAGAGTTCAGTGTTAGAAAGTTTTTGTGTTGTGTGGAAATGTGTGAAAGTTTTGTGTGTTAAGGCGGTACAAGAGGGAGGGGAGGCAGAGCAGGCAGAGTTCAGCATCCTGACTGCCCGATGAACAGAGCTGTCTCGCAGTCTGCTGGTTCGAGCCTGGAGACTCCGCAGTCTCCTCCCTGATGGCAGCAGGCTGAAGAAGCTGCGTAGTGGGTGTGTGGGATCACCTGCCATGCAGAGGGCTTTCCGAGTGAGGCGGGTACTGTGTAAGTCATGTAGTGAGGGGAAGGAGGTGCCGACGATCTTCTCGGCTGCTCTCACGATGCGATGGAGTGTCTTGCGGCAGGATGCAGTACATGCACCGAACCACACCGTGATGCAGCTGGTCAGGACACTCTCTATGGCACCCCTGTAGAAGGTGCACATGATGGGGGTTGGAGCTCCAGCTCTTTTCAGCTTACGGAGAAAGTAGAGGCGTTGGTGAGCCTTCTTGGCCAGTGATGCAGTTTTTCTGCTCCAGGACAGGTCCTCTGAGACGTGCACTCCCAGAAACTTGGTGCTGCTCACTCTCTCCACAGTAGTGCCATTGATGGTCAGAGGAGCGCAGGAGGATGGGCGTGCATCTTCCTGAAGTCCACAACAATCTCCTTTGTCTTATCCACGTTCAGAGAGAGATTGTTGTGTCCGCACCACAAGGCCAGGTGGCTCACCTCGTTCCTGTAGTCTGTCTCGTCATTGTTTCTGATGAGACCCACCACAGTTGTATCGTCCGCAAACTTGACAAAGTAGTTGGAGCTGTATGATGGTGTGCAGTTGTGTGTCAGAAGGGTGAATAGAAGTGGGCTCAGCACGCAACCTTGGGGGACCCCTGTATTCACTGTGATGGTGCTGGATGCGTTACTGCCAAACCGTACTGCCTGTGGTCTCCCGGTCAGGAAGTCTAGCAGCCAGTTACACAATGAGATGTTCAGCCCCAGACTGTCCAGTTTAAGCATGAGCTGTTGGGGGATGATGGTGTTGAATGCCAAGCTGAAGTCAATGAACAACATTCTAACATGAGCCCTTAGTGTCCACATGTGTGAGGGCTGTGTGGAGGGCAGAGGAGATGGCGTCGTAGGTTGAACGATTTGGCCGATATGCAAACTGGAAGGGATCCAGGGAGGCAGGAAGGACAGAGTTGATGTGTTTCATGACTAGCCGTTCGAAGCACTTCATCAGGATGGGGGTGAGTGCCACCAGACGATAGACATTGAGGCAGGAGGGCGATGCCTTCTTTGGGACAGGGATGATGGTGGTAGCTTTGAAACAGGTGGGGACGATGGTCTGACTCAGCGAGATGTTACAGATATCTGTGAAGACTGCTGCAAGTTCCACTGCACAGTCCTTCAGCACACGACCAGGCATGTTGTCAGGACCAGAAGCTTTTCGGGCGTTGATCTTGATGAATGATCGCCTTACACTGTCGGTGGACAGCGTCAGCACCTGGTCATCGGGAGAGGGGGAGAGTTTATGTGCAGGTGTGCTGTTACATGCTTCAAACCGAGCAAAGAAGTCATTCAGCTCATTCAGTGTAGAGGTTGTGCTGTTACAGGTTTGTGGGGCAGGCTTGTAGTTCTTGATGGTCTGTATTCCCCACCACAGACTCCGTGTATCCTTGCTGTCTCTGATCAGGGTATGTTTACATGGACATAAGTAACCGGATCAAATGGCCGGTTGGAATAAAAGTGTGTCATGTAAACACTCCGTTCGGGTTATTTCTTGTGTATTCTTACCCAGCTTCTGCTTCCTGTCGCGCCGCTTATGACGCTTCCACTGTGGGCGTGATGAAGGAGTGAGGGTCGGTGATGGTACTGGCTTCCAGAGCAGGCCGCAGTCACATAGTTCTTTGAGTTCACTGTTTATTCCTAAAAGTGTGTTTTTTCCGACATCAAGCAGGAACTCACGGCTATACTTGCATTTTAGGACATGTAGACATGACAAAGACGTACAAGCACAAGTAAAAGCTTGCAGGACAAAGAAAACGAAAACACCGTTTTGTCGGGAGGGAGAGAAGCCGTAGCGTGTGCCTGCGCCGCCATCTTTGGTTGTATATATATATATATATATATATATATATATCTTGTGTTTAGTTCTTTTTAATTGTCATGTTTTTAAATGAAATGAATAAAAATTACATATATATATAAAAAAAAATTTTTTTTTGCATAAGCAGAAGTTTTTGAGGGAGTCCCTGGGACATTTTTCTCTGATACAAGGTGTTCCCTGACCAACATGACTTTTTTCAAAGACTGGTAAGATCTTGTCCAACACCCAGTCAGAGTTAGTTCACCTGATGAAACTAAAAGAAAATACTTTAAAAAGCTGGAGCCTCTAAATAGATTGCTGATTGAACAAGTATTTTATCACACTGAGTCAAATGAAGCAGAATAAAGGAAAACATGTTAAAGACTGGAATTTGCACCAACATTTTAACATTACACTTTCAAGGCATGTTCGTCCTCTTTATAATTTGACTGCAGAGGTAGTCAAAGATCTGAATCAATGTATGCGTGTGTACTGGGGGCAGCCACACACACGTTGATTCATTCCACTCGTCAACAACATTGTTGACTGATGTTGCAACGCAAGTTTCATCTGACAAAGCTGCCTCTGTTTGGTCTGTTAAAAAATGCGAAGACCAGCAGTGATGATTTAAAAAAAAAAAAATACTGTACCGATGGTGTGACCAAGTTATAAAAAGGGACACAAGTCCATATTTTTATCATTAGCAGAGTAACAATATTTTCTGTAAATCTAAAAAAAAAAAAAAAAGATATTCAATTTAGAGTACCGTATTTTCCGCCGTACCTGTCGCAATGCCTTATAAGTCACATCAGTCCAAATATGTCTAAAAAAGTGGAAAATCCATAAATATGTCACTTCACCTTATACGTCACATCTATTATGCGTCACCACTGATGCATTGCGTTTGCTACGCATCACCGCTGACAACCCGGAAATGTGGGCCGAAACCGGAAATGTGGGCCGAACTCGGAAATGTGGGCCGGTGTTGTGCCAAAAATCAATGGGCTGCCAAATGGCAGCTGCAGGAACGTGTACAGGAGGACTTTAACAAAAATTTAACAAGATCAACACTTAAAAACAATTATTTGTTTGCTTGAAGTTATAGCAAAGGTGTGTCTCAGTTGAACTTTTCTTTAATAAATGCACTTTAATGGTGAAATTAGCTGAATTTTGCTGGGGCGGTGCAGCTGGTTTGAGCAGCGAGCAGAACGAAGGTGGGGGGACGAAGCCGATTGTATCATTAAAAGCTGGTGAAGATTCTCAGTCATCCAAGACAAAAACATTAAAGTATAAAGTATAATAAATAAAGCCCAGTTCATTTTGTATTGAACATTTTTGTATTTGTCATTATAGCCACGTTTACTTATTACATGATACAACTGCATGCCATACAGCTACTACTACTCTGCTTCCATCTAGTGGCTGAAAATGATGCTGTACTTTTTTTCAGTCAAAATGAATGAAAACAGTCATATGTCATTCAAAAATTGGTTTATAAATATGGGAAAAAATCCATAAACATGTCACTTCGGCCTATAAGTCGCAGGGCATGCAAATTATGCACAAACAAAAGTGATTTATTAGCTGAGAAATACGATACTCAAATTTACTGAGAGACTCAGAGGTGACAAATACAGACTTGGGACAGAAGCTGCGCTTATAATTTTGTTGTGTACACAACTGAAACTTTTTGTTTGGATGTTTAGAAGCTGGTCATTAGATAACCAGTATGGAATCAGTGTGGTCTCTATTTAGAATTTATCCAGTTTCCCCCACAGCCATATAATTTACCTCTACCACTGTGTGTTCTATATGCGATAATTCCTGATTGACTCTCTGTGTTTCCTTAGGGTTTCTGATAAGCTGAATAAGAGGCAGAGTCCACAGCAGACCCCACAGACTCCCCAAGATGAGAGCAACATGACACAAAATGACTTGCTGGCGCTACTCAAAGCGCTGCCCTCTAAATGGCTTGGCAGTCGAGGAAACACAAATTTCTCTGACGAGCAAGAACTGGATGATATAGACATGTACAGCTACAGAGGCAGCCGCAAGCATGTACTGCTCATGGCCAGCACACGAACAGGATCGTCGTTTGTGGGGGAGTTTTTTAACCAGCATGGAGAGAACATGTTTTATTTGTTTGAGCCTTTGTGGCACGTTGAACGCATGCTGGCCACAACGGCAGAGACAAACAATGGGACGGGCTTAGGATGGATTTACCGTGACGTACTCCGAGCGCTCTTCCTGTGTGACTTTTCATTCCTAGAGAAGTTCATCTCTCCTCCACCAAATGACCACGTCACCCCTGCTCTTTTTCGCAGAGAGTCAAGCTTATCGCTTTGTGACGAACCTGTCTGCGCCCCTGTGAACAAAGACGTTTTTGAGAGGTATTTTTTTTCCATCTTTTAGAAGCTTGCTGTTGAAAGACGTTTTAATGTTTTAACAGACTCACTCTACTGTTAGAGAGGAAGGTGGGGGTTGGTTGCGACAGCATTTTGCATCAAACTCAGCCTCATGTATGCTACGTACAGATGTCCTAACTTTCAAAAATATATCTTAATTCAGACAAGAACACAAAAATCCTATACAAATGCAAAAATGCAGGGCCAAAAGGAGGCAATAACATTGAAATTAATAACTGATCAAAATGCAACGAAAGATGATTCAGAACATGGCTAGCATTTTCAAAATAATTATACTAAGGCATATTTTGTAAATGTCAAGTTGTTTTTAAATTCCATGTTTACTTTTTCCTTTTAGCATTGACCTTGTTAGCAACTATTTTTTTTACCACTAGTAAGTTTTAATGATTATAACAACAAAAAAGTTTAAATCTTGTCATCTGGACCAGTTTCTTTAAGTAAGAAACCTTTCATCCCCCATCCAGAGGACTTCCTCAGTCTGCGGCCTGCCAACCAGACCTGTCCCATAGGTAGCCTTCACTGCTGTGTTTCAAGCCAACCTCAGAAACAGCATGAGGACAAACCAAACCAAGGCCAAAGTGGTTGAGAAAAATGATTTATTTTAAAAAGATTATAGTGTCAGAATAAATTTATCCAGACAAAAATTTCTAAAATTGTTCAGGCATTAAGGTTTCTGTTGCACATTAATCCATAAAGCAATATTAGTCACGTGTAAATTTGACTGCAACATCTCCATTTGTTAAGTGCTCACAGACTCAAAAACCAGAGACTTGTTTTAAATACCTACACTTTAGGAATAGGGGTATAAATCACCAGCTTTACCACAATACAATATTATATTGATTTGTTTATATGACAATACAATTTTTCTTGATATCACAAAGTTGTCACGATATGATTTTGATTCTATTCGATTCACAAGTCTGCAATCGATATATTGCGATATCAAATGCCCATCTCATTTACACACAAAAATTTTTACAAAAACAATTCAAATATGATTTAACCTTTTTATTTCTGTTATAACAGGCACCAGGCATTTAAATAAAAAAAAACCAACATTTTTTCTTAATTATTGAAAAAATAAAAATAAATGACCTGTTCAGTATAGTCTCACATTTCTCATGTTTAAGTGCATTTTTTAAAACCAGTTAACTTAAAAGTGCCCTGATTACCTTTCAGTTATAAAGAAACAAAAATAGATATTGAGCTTACATAACATGGCTATCAATGCCGTGTTTCTTCTTCAGGTGAACGGCCACATTTGTTGTTTCCCGAGTATTTTAACTCACTCTGGCACCTGTTGCATACAGCATGAGTTTTGTCTGTTGAGCCGTCCTTCTGTTGGAATCCAAAATATTTCCACAGTGTTGATTTAAATCCAGCAGGAGAGTGAATTTCATTTTCTGTGTTTTCTGCCTCGTCTGCCATGTTGCTGAGGCGGCCGTGAGCGCAGCCGTGCACGGAAATGGTGACACAGACGTGCCTTGGGAATTTCAAAATAAAAGCATATTTTAAAGATGATGATATGAATCGATGTTTTAGTTTTGCCACGATATAATTGAATCATTAGTCATTTAATTGATATATCAATTTAAATTGATGTATTGTTACACACCTGTTTAGGAAGTTCTGAAAAATGTAAATTTTTCTCACCCAAATTGCTTGTATGTTGTAAGGGGTGCAAACAAATCAGAAAGAAATATTGTTTAAAAAAATGTCACTGCTAAAGTGCCTAATTTACGTTACTAATCAATTATTGGTTCTCATTTGTCGCCAAGTTTTTAGCTCGCTGATTTTAGGTTCAGACGACCCTTAGAAGTTGTAGTTAAGCATTTCTCATGTTCCCAATGCAGAAATTAAACATTAATTAACCTATTTTGCAACTCTAACAAATTTTTGTCTATAAATAGTAAACTATATTATTTTTATCTTAGGTATCACTGTAAGACTCGTCGCTGTGGGCCACTGAACTTGACGCTTGCCTCTCAGTCCTGCTTGTCTAAACAGCACCATGCTATAAAGACTGTCCGTGTGCGACAGCTGGACACGCTGCAGCTTTTGGTGCAGGACCCTCGCCTGGACGTCAGAGTTATCCAGCTGGTTCGAGATCCACGAGCCATCTTAGCATCTCGCATGGTGGCTTTCTCCTCACAGTATAAGACATGGAAGGCCTGGGCGCAGGACGGCCTTGTACCTGAAGATGATGAGGAGGTGAAGAGGCTCAAGGGGAACTGTGATCATGTTAGGATTTCCGTAGAGATGGGGCTGAGCCAGCCAGACTGGCTGAAGAGTCGATACATGTTGGTGCGGTATGAGGATATCGCTCGGTACCCGATGGAGAAAGCAGAGGAGATGTACAGGTTTGCTGGCATACCGTTTAGTTCCCAAGCTAGGGAGTGGATTTTGAGAAACACGCAGACAACACAGGAAGCCAGTGGAATATACTCCACTCAGAAAAACTCTTCACAACAGGCTGAGAAATGGAGACATAGCATTCCCTTTACACTGGCTCAGGTGGTGCAGAAAGTGTGTGGACCCACTATGAAACTGTTTGGATACAAGTTTGTGGAAGACGAAAGGACGCTGATCAATAAATCTATTAGTCTGCTTGAAGATAAACAATTTTATTAATCAGGAGGTGTATCTAGAGAAAACAAACTACATACAACCGATCAGAATCTGAAGATACCAAAACGTCATACAACAGACCTAACAAGCAAGGCTACCACACACAATGGTGACTGCAACATTTGTAGTCATCAATAAAGTGCCTAGTTTTAACATTACACTTTATAAAGCAGATAACTTATCAGCATACTGTATTCACCAAAAAGACTGATGCTTTATGTCACAACCTTTATTTAATTTGAAACTAAATACGTCCATGTGTCAAGTTTGATCACAGGTTTCATTAGTAGATGGTGACGTTGGGATGTTTTAACAGATTAACAAAAGTATATTTTTGTTTGCAAGTTGTTTGTGTGTAAGCAGGAAAAAAGAAGGAAGTTTTGTAATTAAAAGTGTTGATTATTTGGGATTATACTGAAAAAATGCTGGAAATTTTTCTGGTTATTCCTAACGTGATGTGTTGTTGACATATTTTCAACATCTACTCGGATAAAGTGAATGTGTCTCCATGGGAAGCTATATACATCTATATCTATATTTATATATAGATAAATCTATATCTATATTTATATAGATATGTATAATACTGACGAAAATCTCTCCAGTCAGTCTCATGGAATATGCCTTACCTTCGACGCATCTTCATCCTCTCCAGTCTTGCTTTGCACTGGAGCCACCATAGCAGTATACTGTGTCTTCAATTTCTGTTCTACCTCTAAGTATGGTAAACAAACTCGTTGACAAAAGATCTTTCTTCTCAAATCATCATGTCACATTACTACCTAATTTAAAGATCATACACTGGCAATTATGAAAATATGCAGAATTGTTGCGCAGTGAGTTTATTCATAGTTTACTAATGAAAGAGATAAAATCTTCAAAAATAACATGACAAAGTGTACCCTTTTAAAAATCTATGTTGTGTGTGTTTTTATGACCACAGGGTGCTTGCTCATGGTGTATGCCTTTAAGAAAAACCCAGGTGGTGGGTTGATGGTATATAAAGGTAACCACTGTGAGTGAGTATGGTTCAATGGCAGCATTGTGCTCAGTTTGGCTGAGGCCTCAGTGAAACTGCCATGCTGCTCATGGAAAGAACGTTGCCTCCTACATTTATACAGTAGTTGGTTTATATGAGTTATGCTTAATAAACACATTCGAAAGGTTTTGAGTTGTCAAAAAAGAATTGACTGTACAAACTTTGGTAGCTTAAACTTTTAATATAGGAAAAATGTGCTTTTTTTTGGTCACTTTTGAACTAAAATACGTCTAAATTTAAGTTTTGCTTGTTCAACTTTTACATAATTAAATTCGTCTGATTATCTACAATAGTTATCTGTAAGTTAGATTTTTTTCTTGCAAAGTTTTGTCAGTTTGTAATGTTTTTTTAACTTACTGTATATAAGTTTCAAACATTGCAATTTGCTTCAGGTAATTCAATTCAGTTAAGTTTATTTATATGGCGCTCACATATTTTATGGTCTATAGTTTTCCAGAAGTCAATCTTTTCTCTACATCCATGGTCAGAATGTGTGCTCTGCTAAATTATGGTGAATTTTTGTGACAAACTGGAAAACTTTTGTTTATTGAGTGGTTTTAATGTAAATATCCTCTTTCTATCTTGAATTGTGTTGTTGTTTGGCAGTTTTACATTAAATGGAAGGCGTATCCATCCATCCATTTTATTTTAATTTTTTACCTGCTTTTTCATTTTATCATGTTACATTGGAGCTGGGTATACCCTGGACAGGTCGCAAGTCCATAACTTAAACAATACAACAAGTATTAAACAACAATTACTTAAACAATTGCATATTTATAATATACATGTAATTATTTTTGCTTGAATGCTTTTGTGCTTTAAGTTTTGATTTAAAATAAGTAGTTTTATTACATAAAAAATGTTTTTATATAAAAATGTTTTTAAATTTTACCAAAAGCTTCTGTCAAAAAAGAATGATCTAACAGTTCAAAGATAGAAGACAGAAGATTTTAAAAATAAAAAGGTTTTAAAAAATAATTTGTTTGTCATCTTGATATTAGTATCAGTTTCTTTCTATTTAAAATGTGTAATGGATCTTGAAAAGGAAAATGTGACATCAGAACATTATATTTTAATTGTAATTTCCAAGCATAAATACATGGTGGATGAGAATGGCATGGATAAATTGGGGATTAATGTAGGATTGTTAAAATGCAGACTGTTGCCAAGGATCCCCCAAAAGCCTGAGTGTGAATTACGCAGAAACAGGGAGCCCATTCAGCTCCGCATTCTTTCTGTCTGAATGAACTCCCAGCTGAGGGAAGGCACTTTGGAGTTAACAGCTGCTGGCCAAGCAAACCACTCTGCTGATGTTATTTCTCCAGCAGCACAGCAGGTGTTTCTATACAACACACAGCAGAAAAGCTATTGGAGCTTTTTTCTCTCTCTCTTTCAAGTTCCCTTAAGATATCCTGTGGTGGTGGGACTACTGGTGGTGCTACGGAGTTTTGAGAATGATGAGTGAGTCCATCACAAGTAGCAGCTGCCACGGCATGACCCTGAAACCGGATTGCATGTGAAGTTCCAAAGCAGAAGGGGGAAGGCAGTTCAGAATGAGTTACAAATGAAAGATGAAAAGCAAACGTGACTAGATGGTGTGACTAGACTAGACTAGATGTGATAAGATGGTCTCTTTGGTACTCCCCCTCCTCCATTGCCGGCCCTCTTCCTTGTTGACAGTCATGTCAAACTGATTGAAAAAAAACAAAGTCCATGCTCAATAATCCAGGTATACAATCCAACATTTTTCAGTCAGGTCATCTGGACAGTTTCTTTTTTTGTGCTGAAACGTTTTGCCTTCGATCCGGAAGACTTCATCAGTCAAGTTATCACAAACAAAACTGGTTTGTTCCACTTTGGAGTAAGCTGTTGGGGGAAGAATCAGTTTTGTTGTGTGTTTCCTTGACTGATGAAGCCTTCTGGATCGAAGGCGAAATGTTTCAGCACAAAAAAAGAAACTGTCCAGATGACCTCACTGAAAAATGTTGGATTGTATACCTGGATTATTGAGCGTGGACTTTGTTGTTTAAAAGTAATTGTACTTACAAAATAAGTGCAACTGGCTAAAAATTTACAAGTTTGATTGTCATTTATAAGTAGAATTTCAACAAACTTTGCATTAAAACAACCAATATTTTTACCCCGCTAAACATTTTGTGGTTAAGATTTTGGAATGCACTTCTGATACCAAGGGGGTCCTTAGTAAAATCTATACACTGCTCAGTTCATACTATGATACCGGTTTGAACTCCCTTAAACTGAAATGGGAAACGGACCTGGAGGAATCCATCTCAGATTCAACCTGGAGAAAGATCATTAAGACCATTTATTCATCCTCAATATGTCTGAGACATGCTTCAATTCAATTCAAGGTAGTGCACCTTCAGCACTTGTCCAAAGACAAGCTCTTCAAGATCAAAGCTGACTTGGACCCTGCATGTAATCATTGTAAACAAACTCCAGCTACACTTTTGCATACATTCTGGACCTGTCCCAAACTGCAGACCTTTTGGCAATCTATTTTAGACACCTCCCCTGAGATATATGGGAAACTGTACACCCATCACTAGGAATGTGCGATATGTATGGTATACGGTAGAAACGCTAGACATTTAGCCTATGATAGAGATCTGTATTCTACCAGCTAACTGCAGTAATGCTGTGTCTGATGTAAAATCAGAGTTGTCAAATTTAATCGTTAATTTTTTTAGTTTAAAACTGTGCATAAGTGGTGCAAAATCAGAGTTGTCAGATTTAATTGTTACTTTTATTGAGTTGAAAACTGTGCTTAAGTGTGCGTAATTCAAGTGCCTAAGCGTAAGTAAGTCTTTTCTTCGAGAGCTAAGTAACGAAGCTACAAGCTAACTACGGCCGGCTTGTCGTAGTGTTGCCATATTCGGATGCTTGCGCAAAATGCTGTGTTCCATCGAAAGTTTTTTCTTTCCGTCAAAAGCTAAAGTAAGCGTTGGTCAGCTTTAGAGAAACCTGCACTCTGGTCTGTGAAAAGAACGCTGTGTTGTGTGATTTTACTGCGAGACCCTCTGATCAAAGCCACAGAGGAAACTGGTCGCCATTTTGTGTCAGCTCTCCTTAAAGTGGAAGGAGACGCCCACTAGAGGGTTGGAGGGTTAAGTGTTTTCAGTGTAAAATGCTGCTCTGTTGCTGTTCATTCCTTAAGTGAAGACGGGAAACTGTTAAGGGTTAACAACATATTATTTTGTTTAAATCATATGGCTACAACTACATTTAATATCTTTTGCACTGTTTTGCACTACAAGAAAGAAATCTAATACTTGATTTGTTTATTAGTTAAAAACTCTCTGGACCTAGTAGTGGAATTTTCTTAATTGAGATTATTTTGTGGTATAGCAGTTTTCAAAATAAATGATGGCAAAAGGACACCCTACGCTTTTTTCATTCCTATTGCAAGTTTTATACCAAAAACATATCATTATGTATATCGTTATCACTACCCTTCACAATACATATCGTGATATGAACTTTATGCCATATTGCATATCCCTACCATCACAATTCATCTCACTGTTCGGGGTGGTCTCTGTGGATACGTCCTTCAGCAAGTAATAGAAGGATGTGATTGGTTTTGTCTCTCTTTTGGTCAGGAGACTTGTTTGTGCAATTGATAGGACCCACACCCCCCAGCATATGTACATTTGGATAAGAGAGGTGATGTATCATATTCATCTGGAAAAAAAAAAAGATATACCCTGAAGGGTTCTGTTAAAAGATTTGGGGACACTTGGCAGCCTTTCATGTTGTTCATAGAAAACATGTCAGTGCCTAGTTAGTTCATTTGTGTGTGATTGATCCAGTGTGGGAGGGAAGGAGTGTGTGGGGGTGAGGTATTTATGTTTTTTTTTTTTGTATGTTAA